TCCTCCTCCCCTCCTCCTCCTGCTCCTCACCTCCTCCTTCTCCACCACCACTTCTCCTGTTTCTTCTTCCACTTTAGACGGTTTCCAAAGCAGTTTCTAGTTTTACGTTCAACAGGGCACGCACGTTCTGCTCCATCTCATCATTGCCATCTCCCCCTTCGTCCCTGTGCTTCTGGTCTCCATTCGTCCTTAATCCCCAACCCCCTGGACTCTGTCCTTGGGCAAACACCACTCCCTTCGGTCTTACGTAACGGATTATTCTAGTATGGAGGTGAGTTCAGTTGCAGACCTGAATGGTGCCTGTGGGCGGGGCTGTTGAACGCCTCACCTGTCTCTATCCGACCAGTGAGCTTGGTTCTCTCTTATGGTTTTGAGTTCAGCTCCACGGTGTCCTCCCACAGTATCCAGGTCTTCTCATGTGGTTCTTTTCAGAGCAGTTGGTAGCTAGGTGGCCGGGCACCATCTAGTCCCTCCAGTCTCCGGGTTCTGGAGACTGCAGGGTCCGTCATTGGACGGATTGTTTCCATACGTCTTTCCATGAGCACCGACCTTCTTTTCTCTAGGCAGAAAGAGACCAATCGATCTGCCTTAGATGGCTGCTGGCACACTTTCAAGATCCTAATCACTACTCACTCTATAGGGGAAGAACACTGTCTTTGTGAATTACATTATGCCAAGTGACCTTGGTGGCCTCAGGACTGTGGACATGATCACCCAGGCCCAGTGACTCCTTCCCTCAAGGTGTTTGGTTATGTTGACGGATTTTTCATCGCTTTGTCCCTACATGCTCCACCCCCCTCACAGATGTAGTTGTGGCAAAAGTCAACACACGTGTCCGACACACCTGTGCCCGATCTTAAGGGTCCTGGTCTTACTGACGGCCCTTGCTTGGCCAGAGACACTCTTGTTTCCAAGTTCCACTCATTCACTACCCCAGGGAGCGGGGGTCCGTCTGAAGCTCCAGACCCTTCCAAGCCCCCCCCCCACCCGGGAGAGGCCAGAGAAGGGTGTGGCAGTGAGTGGACCCTATGGGTGCCTCTCCCAGCCCGTTAATTACTCACAGGGAAGAGGAGAGACCATCTTCTTTCTGGACTCCTGACTCTGAGGCTCTGTGTCTCTCCTCCCACCAGACTTGGCGGAGGGGGGGTGCTTCTCAGGGTTTCACAAGGGCCTAGTGGTGGAACTGAGGCCACCACTGGCCATTTGGCCATTGTGGGCCACCAAGGACCCCACACGCCCACCCCACTACCTTTCCCCCATAAATGTCATTTGGTCTCTTTCTCCTGGATGCTGTCTCCCTCTCCTAGGCGCTCCTGGACCTTGGGGGCTCCCCCAACTACAAGGACCGCCGGGGCCTGACCCCTCTCTTCCACACGGCTATGGTAGGGGGTGACCCTCGCTGCTGTGAGCTGCTGCTGTACAACAGAGCCCAGCTGGGCATCGCCGATGAGAATGGCTGGCAGGAAACCCACCAGGTGCTGGAGGGCGGGGAGCAGGTTGGACCTGGGCCCTGGAGGCGTAAGGAGTGGGTTGGGGCAGAGGTGTGTGATGGAAGCCTGAGGGGCTGGACTCACAGGGTGCCGGTACCATGATCTTCAAAGAGGAAAAGGCTGGCGGTGTAGATACCAGGACCCTAAGGGAGCATGCCCTGGGTGCCCTGATCCTCGGGGTGGGTAGACACCCAGCCTTAAATGATTGAACTTAAAGGGACCCTCGGGGTCCCTGAATGGGAAAGTGGGGTTGAAAGGAGAAGGGTGGTGAATAAGGAAGGGGGGGACATCCTGAAGTCAACGCAGAGGGTATAGTCTGAGTCCTGGCCTTCTCTGCTCACTGTCCCCACCCCCACTCCCCAGGCCTGCCAGCGGGGTCACTCTCAGCACCTGGAACACCTGCTCTTCTATGGGGCTGAGCCTGGAGCCCAGAATGCCTCCGGGAACACGGCCCTGCACATCTGCGCCCTCTACAACAAGGTCTGCCTGGCAGCACCCACCCCAGCCACCTCCCCACCTTCTGCTCCTTCCCTACTCTCATTCACTCACCCGGGCATCCATTCATCTGACAGATACCTCCTGAGCCCCTCCGCTGGTCTCGTCCATTCATTCATTCCATAGACAGATACTGAGTCCCTTCACTGTTTTTGTTCATTCATTCATTCATTCAACAGGTATGTACTCTTCCTTGTTCTCCATTCAATCGTGCATCCTTTAGCTGACAGATACTTACTGAGCCCTTCACTGGTCTCATCCATTCATTCTTGTATTTGACAGATATTTACTGAGCCCCTCCACTGATCATATACATTCATTCGTGCATTTCATAGATACTGAGTCCGATTTACTAGTCTCACTCATTTGTTCATTGGACAGATGTTTTCTGAGCCTGATTCACTGGTATCACTCATTCATTCATTGGACAGATGTTTTCTGAGCCTGATTCACTGGTATCCCTCATTCATTCATTGGATAGATGTTCATTCATTGAACAGATG